GGTGGCAGTTTGCTAAGGCAGACTGGACCCTATTTACCCTCAGTGCTGCTCTCTCTGACCTCTCCCTTCTGCCTCTCTCTCGCGCTCTCCTCCTTTTTCATGACACTGTCTTCAACGCTGCCCTCCGCTCTATTCCTCGCTCTTCCTCTCGGGGTCCACGGAAGTGCGTTCCCTGGTGGAATGCGGACTGTGCTCGGGCTGTCCGCTGTAAGCGTGCAGCCTGGAAGAGGCACCGCCGTAGGCAGACGACCGATTCTTTTCTTTTCTTTCGGAAAGCGAGTGCGGTGGCCCGTAGGGCCATCCGTACGGCTAAACGTGAATGTTGGGCATCTTATGTCTCAACAATTACGTCCGAAACCCCTCTGGCCCAGATCTGGAAGCGTATCCGCAAGATAGCGGGTAAGTTCGTTCCCGATGTTTCACCGGTCCTTCACCTCCATGATACTCTTGTGGCGGACCCGTTGCAGGTCGCTTCCGAACTGGGTTCCCACTTTTCTTCTGTTAGCTCTGGTCTTCATCTTCCCCAATCTTTCCTTCTTCGTAAACCTGTCCTTGAGTCTCGTCCTTTAGATTTCTGCACTCATCTTCAGCTTCCCTATAATGATCCCTTCTCTCTCTCTGAACTTCGTTCTGCCCTGGCCCTCTGCGGTTCTACGGCGGCGGGCTCCGATGGTATTCATTATGAGATGCTTCGCCATCTCCCTCCGAGCACGTCTCAGTATTTACTGAGTCTGTATAATCGGATCTGGGAGTCGTCGTCAGTCCCTGAGGACTGGCTCGATGCCGTTGTCCTCCCTGTTCGCAAACCGGGGTCTCTGGGTACTTCCCCTAAGGACTTTCGCCCTATTGCTCTCACAAGTTGTGTCTGCAAACTCTTTGAACGTATGGTTAACGTTCGTCTGATGTGGTTCCTGGAACACCATCACCGCCTCTCCCCTTCTCAATTTGGTTTCCGCAAGTGCCGCAGCACGACAGATGTCCTGGTGAACTTGGAGGTCTATATTCGTACTGCTTTTGCTGCGAAGACCTCCGTTGTTGCCGTCCTTTTTGACCTGGAAAAGGCTTACGACACCACTTGGCGTTATCATATCCTATCTCAACTTCATTCTTTTGGCCTTCGTGGTCATCTCCCTCTCTTTCTCCGCAGCTTCCTCTCTCGTCGTTCCTTTCGGGTGCGCCTTGGTACCGCTCTCTCTCCCTCTTTTCAGCAATACGAAGGTGTGCCCCAGGGTAGTGTTCTGAGCACTACTCTTTTTCTGGTTGCCCTCAATGGTCTTCTTTCCTCTCTTCCTTCTGGTGTCTTCTCCGCTCTCTATGTCGATGATCTTACCCTTTGTTGTCAGGGTGATGATTCGCCTCTCCTTCAACGCCGGCTTCAACTTGCAATTGATGCCGTGTCGTCTTGGGCCACAGATCATGGCTTCAAGTTCTCTACTTCTAAGACTTGTGCCATGACTTTTACGCGGAAACGGGTTGTTCTTCGTCCCTCTTTGTCCCTTTATGGTCATCCCCTTGAATACAAAGATTCCACGAAGCTTTTGGGGTTATTCCTTGACACTCGTTTGTCTTGGTCTCCCCATATCTCTTACCTCCGTGTTGAGTGCCCTTACCCTCCTTCGGGTCTTGTCCCATACTTCTTGGGGGGCAGATAGGCGCACTCTCCTTGCTTTACATTCCTCTCTCGTCCTGTCTAAGCTCGATTATGGTTGCCCTGCTTACTCGTCTGCTTCTCCTTCTACTCTTCGCCGTCTTGATGCTTTGCACCATACTGGGTTGCGCCTCAGTTCTGGTGCCTTTCGTTCGACTCCCATCCTTAGCTTGTATGTTGACACTGGCTTCCTGTCTCTCCAGGACCGCCGTGATCGCTACTGTCTTCGCTATCTTGCGCGGTCCTTGCAACATCCTTCCTCTCGCCTCTGTCGTGCTTTAACTTTTACCCCTCCTGCGGTTCCTGTTCCTCTTCACCACCTCCCTCTTTCTGTCCGGTTATCTCGCCTGCAGGATTCTCTTTCCGTTCGTATTTCTGATGTTTCTCCTCGTGTTGTTCCTTCTTTGCCCCCGTGGAGGGTCCCTCTTCCGCGGTTTTGTACTTCCTTGACCCGTATCACTAAAGCTTTTACCCCTCCTACGGTTCTAAACCGCCTTTTCCTCGAGCACTTTTCTTCTCACTCCCGCTCCGTTTCTGTCTTCACCGATGGGTCTAAGTCAGCGGACGGTGTTGGCTACTCTGTTGTTTTTCCTGATCGCACTTATATGTGTCGCTTGCCTCCGGAGACTAGCATCTTTACAGCGGAACTTTATGCTATTCTCTATGCTCTTCGTCTCCTACTTTCTCGTTGTCAGTCTTCCTTTGTAGTTGTTGTTGACTCTCGTAGTGCCCTCATGGCTCTCGGGTCCTTTAATCCAGTTCATCCAGTGGTTGTCGAGATCCAGCATTGGCTGTTTCTCGTTCATAGTAAATTTAAGTCGGTTGAGTTTTGTTGGGTTCCCAGCCATATTGGTGTGTCTTTAAATGAGCGTGCGGATGCTGCCGCCAAGGAAGCTGTCCGCTCTTGTCCCATCTCTCGTAAGGGCATTCCGTATTCCGACTTTTACCCGGTTATCCATTCCTCAGTCCTTACCCGTTGGCAGGCTTCTTGGTTGTCTGTTACTGGTAACAAGCTACGTACTCTTAAATGTTGTGTTTCCTCGTGGCAGTCCTCCTTCCACCGTAACCGGCGGTGGGAAACAGCTCTGGCGAGGTTGTGTATTGGCCATACTCGCTTAACCCATGGTCACTTGATGGAGCGCCGCCCTGCTCCTTCTTGTCCTAGTTGCATTGTCCCTCTTACGGTCGTGCATGTCCTTCTTGAATGTCCTGACTTCCAGGACGAGCGTATGTCTTGCTTTCCGACCGCCCCTCGCGGTCACCTGTCCCTCGATAGAATTCTTGGTGACTCGGATACTTTTGATATCGTTCGCCTTATGCGTTTTTGTTCTCGTATTGGCATCCTTGGTGATATTTAGCGCCCTCTGATTATTTTGCGTATTTGATGGTGCTACATAGCCTTCCCGGTTTGGTGCCTTCTTTTGATAATTACTTACTTGAGTGTAATATTTACCGTTGAAAGAGAAAGAGTTAGATTCAACACAGAGTCTAATGAGATCGAGGAAAACGTCCGTGGGAAGTGGGAGAGGAAGGAGGCCCTCTGACGCCTTCTGTCTGAGGAAAGAGAGAACGTCATCGAGCGGAACATTAGTGAACAGAGAGTCGACATCAAGACTAAGCATCTTACAAGAGGGTTGCAGGCGCAGTCTTTCTATGAAGTCCTGAGAGTGACGAAGGTGGGCAGGGGAAAAAGTGCCAAGGTAAGGTGTCAGGGTTTTAGCGAGCCAGGAGGCAAGAGGATAGCTGACAGAGCCCCGTGAAGAAATGATAGGACGAAGAGGAACATTTTTTAGGGCCAGAACTTGTAGTGTTGTTCACTACTGATGTTGGAATGGTGTTGTCTAGAATCCGCCGGCTTCTGGCTTGAGAAGTCCGGCATTGATTACAATCCACCCAGAGTTTATGGTAAAACACACCTTTATTTCACATTAAACAGAGTGCCTTAATGTTTATTAACATTTCATGTGTGGTTTTACACCACCGTCAAAGTCCTTGTGTGGCGGCAGAATTTTGTACGCACAGGGTGGGAAGGTGTGTGTGTGTCGCAGGTGTGGTGGCGGTGTGTAGTCACTGTTTCTTGGCCAGACACACCCTTATTTCTCATTAAACAGAGTGCCTTAATGTTTATACACACTTATGTGTAGTTTTACACTACTAACTAGGGGTTCACGGAAGATAAACGGCTAAAACTAAGCTTGTACAACAATTGAGAGTTGTTATTTGTTTATGGGCGACGACGATCGTGGGATCGGATGCGCCTCGGCGTACCCGGTAAGGGTTAATAACGAAGCCCAGAAAGGTGAAATGCTAAGCCAAATCGTGAAACGAGTGATATCATTCACTGGAAACTAAGATGTCATGTGGCAAAGAAACGCAAACAGGCAGATGATAGTGGAGCCCGAGGAGTCCCTCAAGGTGACAACCACCAGCATCGCCCCACACTGAGAATATTGGATAACAAAACCAAATACTCGGCCCCCAACTAAAACACAAATGTCATTCAGTGTCCGGAAGAGCAGAAGCCGGCCGCCCACCACGGATGAGGACACACCAGGAGCACACCAAGACCACTAACCCCCGGCACCACTCGGCCAAGCCGGCTCCCGGAGACCGTCACCCCGCCGGGAGAACCAGCTAGAATACGTAAAAAAAACTATCAACAATCCCGTGACCCAAGGCGATATGTGCGCCAAACGTCGTACAGCTGGACCGTTGAATAGTGATGCCAAACGGCAGTAGCAAAGCCAAAACGTGAAAACAATGTGATCAGGCGGCTCCCAGGCGGAAGAGGTGTCCAGACGTGCGCTCGTCGTCAAGGTTGAACCAGGATTTCCTAATGAGGTGGTGGCGTCTTGTTAAATAAACAAGACGCCACCACCTCATAGGGACACAAATTGATTGGGAATCCTGGTTCCACCTTGACGACGAGCGAACTTCTGGACATACAGGTGATCCACACCAAGGTAGTATCGTTGCCCCTTGCCTCTTTTAATTATATATTTATATTATCTTAACCAAATGTATTTGGTTAAGCAAGTATTTCTCAAGTATGTGTGTTTGAAGTTTTACCATGATATGCTTATAGCTGTTAGATGTAATTACATATCCTGATATGGATTCATTGAGGAGGTCATCTTGGGATTGCTAGACCACAAAATGGTCACATTATACTGACTGGACAATGTCTCGAGGGAGCTTGGCTTGTTTCATAAATAACCATGCCTGGCCCATGTACTTTCATAGACCATGTACTCAGACATGTCATGCTATAATTGTTGTAAAATTTTTCCACAAAATGAAATTGTTTACATTGTTTTTACAATTTTGTAAAAATATATTTTGTCATTAACAGTTTGGGCTCGTGAAGCTGCCCTACAGCAGGCAGCCTACGCCCTCCAGACTGGCCCAGAAGTCCTCACCTTCTACGAGGAATATTTCAGCATCCTATTCCCTCTCCCCAAGCAAGACATGATCGCTATTCCTGACTTCTCAGCCGGAGCCATGGAGAACTGGGGACTCATAACCTACAGGTTAGAACATTGCACATTATTTTCTGTATGCACGTTACGCTTATGGCAGTTGTATCTACAGCTACTTGCTGGCTTTTAAGACATTTTCTGGATTTCTTACTAAGTGGTTTACAGAGTTTTTGTAGAAATAAATGATATTAAATCTGTTTGTGATGATACTATATAATGGAGTTATGTTACAAACTCTCTAAATACTGTTGATATTTGAGCCTTAAAGAGACGAAATACTATTTAGCTGAATATGTAATTGTTTATATAATTGCACCAAATTGTTCTGAGACCTAAAACATTTACAGATTTATTTATCATCTTGTGAAGATTCTTATCCAAGGTACTAAAATGTTTTGATAGCGATAGGCGATAGTTTACCGAGGCGAGAGTTAGAGGAGTATATTTTGCACAGTTAAGGCTCAATTTTGTTACCCGCTCTTCGTGGGTTTGTAAATTAGCGTGAAAATTATTTACAGCAAGCACTAAATTTTACGAGACAATACTCATAACTCTCAAATTGTGCTGATGATCCAGTATGTTGTTTGAAACCTAGATATGGGATGCAACATATATTTTAAAAAAATCCGGTTAACACACGTAAATTGCTCTCTAATACACTTAATTACTTATAAGATAAATTCACCCAACATAAGCTCAAGATATATTAGACACTATCAATCATCCTAAAATCTAAGTAAAATACCGACCTCTCCGAAGAAATAAACACATAATTCCATTTCATATGAATTGAGAGCCTGGCATATTTTGAGGCATTGTCCTAACATGTTTTAGTAAAATAACAGAAAAAATGGTCTTAAGTAGGCTACAGTGGATTATTGGAGAACTGCACAAGCACATATTTGGCTTCACAAGAGGGGCCGAGCAGTCAACTGCATATTCCATCATTATAAGACACAAGTAACTCAGGTTCAGGTACAGTCGTTTTTTTCATTTAGGAAAAACATTTAAACTTGTATGTCCACAAACAATTTTGCTATCGCTAATCATGTAAGGTATATGGATAAAATTGCTAATCAAGACTACCTCGTCCATGGGTACAGGGTGGTCAATTTTCAAGACCAAGTGTCGTATTGGCATTCTTGGTGATATTTAGCGCCCTCCGATTATTTCGCACTTTGATGGTGCTACATAGCCTTCCCGGTTTGGTGCCTTCTTTTGCTAATTACCTTTCCTCTCAAGACCAAGTGCTTGATAATTATATGAAAAGGTAATAATCGGTAGGCTTGTTATCCAGTATATAAAATCTGGACTAATTTAAACCCTTCGTCCTCTGATGCCACACAAAATTCCTCTACTTTTGCCCAATGTTTACACTATTGAGTTATCTAGCAACGCTGCTTTCTGAGTATCACAACACCTACTCTCCTTTTGACGGGATTTTGTCACAATCGTCCACAAAATTATCCTTCTTGTCACACATTAATGCGAATAATCCTACAGGCACTGTGTTGGTCTGTGCTACGTCACTGACTCTCAGATTACATGTAACATCTTGCCTTTGTCAGGTTACTTGAAGATACGTGATTTCATGTCATCGTGCTTGGAGCAGCGTGACTTCGTGACAGGTTACGTGAGACATCTTGACTTCATGTCAGCTTAATTATTTTAATTAAGGAACGTCACTTCCTGTCATTTTAATTGATGCAAAGTGACTTCATTTCAAGAGTCAGGTTACTTGAAGCAATGTGACCTCATTTCAGTTCAAATAATGCAACATAACTTAGTATCGGATTACTTTAGGTAACGGGAATTGATGTCAGAGTATTTAAAGCTACTGAATTTTTTGTCAGTTATTTGACGTCCCATGATGATGTCAGATTACACGCGAAAATGTGACTATTATTTTAGGAAATGTGACTTCATAAACGTGGTAAAACAATATCTTTGTAATATTGGTTCATGAACATTAGAAAAAGATAAAACTGCATTCGAGGCCTAATGTCCAATATATATATATATATATATATATATATATATATATATATATATATATATATATATATATATATATATATATATATATATATATATATATATATATATAATATGCGAGTCTTTGGAAGCACTCTCCCAAATGATTAATTCATGAGAGTTCCTAGAATCTGTATCTTTAATGCTATATATGTGTGTTAATAATACTACAAAGATCGGGTTTTACCTGATCAGTTAAATATGTATCCATATTGTACAAACTATTACTAATATTCACGTTGTATGGCTTTGTAGTTTGTATTCCAGCAGATTCAATAATGTTTCTATTAAAAATTGCTCATGTAATTTGTTATTGAAGAAGATCCCCCTCCCAATTAGTTCATTGAAAATTCTCAAACAAAAGAAAAAATAGAACATTAGGTAACTGACCACTTCTTACATAATATTAATGTGGCATAATTCAAAATATAAAATCTTTAGATATTTGACCTATATAAAACGGATTACACTCTTTACAAGGTATTTTGTTAATTACACAATTACCACTACTAGGACTGTTTATAACTAATCATTTTCGAATAGTATTTAAATAATTAAACACCGAATTTACATGAAAAGATTTAAAGGTCTTGACAACATTTTCCAACCCACAAAAATATGGTAAGCATAACAAAATCAACATCGAGCAAATTTTCTCGATGCTAATTTTGTTATTATATGTACATGGAGATTTGATTCGATAACCTTCCAAGGAACTTACTTGGATAACAACGCTTGAAGCCTATGGAATCAATATTTCAAAACAATTTCAACAATTCGAAGAGCTTTTAGATATGTGGAGGAACAAAAAGTTATATATATATGGCCAGAGAAATAATGGACGCATGTGTAGTTGTTAGGTTTTCTGTAAAAACTAAAACTTAAGATAAAACAATGATGTGGCAGAGAGGAGGACTTCCTATACGACCCAGCAGTATCGCCGGCGTCCAGCAGGCAGAGGGTAGCCATAGTGGTGGCACACGAGCTGGCGCATCAGTGGTTCGGTAACCTCGTCACTCCCGTGTGGTGGACCGACATTTGGCTCAACGAAGGTTTCGCCACCTTCATGGAGTACACTGGCACTGATCATGTGAGTCGATACCATATCAAATCCAGCCTCATGTGAGTCGTTACTATATCAAATGCAGCCTCATGTGAGTCGATACCATATCAAATCCAGCCTCATGTGAGTCGTTACTATATCAAATGCAGCCTCATGTGAGTCGATACCATATCAAATCCAGCCTCATGTGAGTCGTTACCAGATGAAATCCAGCCTCATGTGAGTCGATACCATATCAAATGCAGCCTCATGTGAGTCGTTACCATATCAAATCCAGCCTCATGTGAGTCGATACCAGATGAAATCCAGCCTCATGTGAGTCGATACCAGATGAAATCCAGCCTCAGCAGCTGTTTTAGATTTCGCTACTCAGAACAAAATGTCCATGTAGCACGGACTATAGTGAGCCCGTAAGGTTTCAGCAGCGTTCTGACTTACTTTTATTGTTTAGAATCATTAATTTATTAGGATTAACATAATAAGCTCCATTAGATACGTAATGATATGTATTCACCTAGTTGTGCTTGCAGGGGTTGAGCTCTGGCTCTTTGGGCCCGTCTCTCAACTGTCAACTAATCAACTTCTTTTTCCACACACACACACACTTCCCCAGGAAGCAGGCCATATCTACTTCTGCAAGATGAACAGGGGAATCAGGCTGAAAGAAACTGTGCCCATTTGTTTCCGCCTCTGTTGGGGATTCTATACTCTAAGATTCTATATTTATAGATTCTAAGACTACAAATATCGAGTGCTGTCCACTCAGCCGTCAGGCCCCCCTAACTTATGTAGCTTATTTTGGCTTATGTAGAAACTCATCAGTGGGGAGCTTCCTACCATGGTGTGAACTGCCCAGTTTATTAATTTTTATTATTGTTAACAAAAAATTGTGGGTGTCTGTCTACATTCAGGATCTGACTGACAAATATTGTGTAATTATTATTATTATTTGTATAATTCTTCTTATTATTTTTTATAATTATTATTTTTCTTAATATAATTCATATTCTTATTAATAGTAAATGGAGTACTGGTATTATTTTATTATTTCTCTATTACTATGATTATTATAGTAGTAATATTATATTATTATTACTAATATTATTATTACTAATATTATTATTATTACTAATATTATTATTATTATAATTATTGTTGTTACTAGTACTGTTATTAGTGAGGAAATCCACTGGGGCTGTGAGGCGATGCGAACCTGCGACCAAGGCATTGCCAGCCGCAGACTCTACTACTGTACCACCATGACTTTCTAAAAATCTAACTTTCTAACAGATCAACAGTGGTAGAACATGCGGCTGGTAATGCCTAATGGGGCAGGAAACAGTGCGCTCAAACTTGATTAACTTAACCTCCCAAAACGTTATTTTTGCTTAAGGTAAATGCTCAAACTGTTCCAAATAGATCATTATAATAACATGGACACACAATGAAAAAATATTGATTTTCCCAAATTATACAATCTTAGGTTTTTAAAACGGCTTAAAAAAATATTAAATTTCACAAATTGTTCATTTGGTGTTGTTATGGTACCCAGAACAGCATATTTTTGAGATTTTTTTTTTTGAGATATATACAAGAGTTGTTACATTCTTGTACAGCCACTAGTACGCGTAGCGTTTCGGGCAAGTCCTTAATCCTATGGTCCCTGGAATACGATCCCCTGCCGCGAAGAATCGTTTTTTCATCCAAGTACACATTTTACTGTTGCGTTAAACAGAGGCTACAGTTAAGGAATTGCGCCCAGTAAATCCTCCCCGGCCAGGATACGAACCCATGACATAGCGCTCGCGGAACGCCAGGCGAGTGTCTTACCACTACACCACGGAGACTGCTGATGACTGATTTGTAGATAAATGTCGTACTAACTTCACATAGTGACGGGTATGCATTCCCCAAGGTGAAGACGTTACACCAAATTCAGATTACATACAAAAGAGAGAGAGAGAAAAAAAAATCCCCTCTCCAGAACATTTTTTGGGACAGTGGTGGAAGTAACAGATCTTAACATTGGGCAATGTATTTATATAATATTTAACAAAATACAGCATAATAACATACTTAATCATCATTATTTGTGTTAATATGTATTACTCAGTAATGCTAGAAAGGCACCAGCTACATATTCAAGTACCTACGGGCTCACCATACCCCGTGCTACTTGGAACTGTTTGTTCCAAGTAGCGAATCTTTAACAACAACAACAGCTACATATTCCCTTTGTGGGCACTTCTTACTACTATTCTCCTTATTTGTGCGTCGAACAGGCTCTTGGATCTCTTTATTACTGCATTATCCCTCAGTTTTAGTTAATAGGAGCTGTTCTCCTAGTGAACATTTTTTTTTTTTTTTTAATTCATATAAAATCCAATTATTAACATTTTGGGATGAAACTTTCACGACGCTGATGCCAATTAATTGGAGATTTGATTAACATTTTCAAGTAATTTTCATATCAATCGAAAAAAATTGTTTCCCGGCCCCTTAGTCGCAGGTTCGCATCCACTCACTGGGCCAGTGGATTTTCTCATTGATGTGTATGTTAGTATGAATTTCTGTGTCTATTATTATTATTATTATTATTATTATTATTATTATTATTATTATTATTATTATTATTATTGCAGGTGAATGAAACACTCAGTTTGTTTAGGTGTATTAAAAAGCTAATTTTCGGATGTAACCTTCCTCCTTTCTCAAGGAATTGTATGCAATGTTCTGCTATATACAGAAGATACAGAATTATATATATAAATATATACAATTCCAGAACATGGTATACAGCACCTTGAGAAAGGATGGAGGTTACCTCCGAAAATTTGGTTTTGATCCACTTAAATTGGGTCTTTCCTTCACCTTCATTCAAGCAATACATAAGACAAAAACTAACTATTTAACACGGGTGGTGAGCGAACAAGGGGACACAGGTGGAAACTGCGTACCCAGATAAGCCAGAGACATTAGAAAGAACTGTTTCAGTGTCAGAGTAGTTAATATTAGGCAGTGATGTGGTGGAGGCAGACTCCATACACAATTTCAAATGTAGATTTAAGAGTCCAATAGGCTCCACACCAGTTGATTGCAGTTGAGAGGCGGGACCAAGGAGTCAAAGCTCATTATTTATGACAAAGTGATTTTAACATTATTATTATTATAGTAGTAATTAATTGTATGTTATAAACAGTGCACTTGTCATGCTTAAAAACTGTGTCAACCCATGTGTGTGTGTATGTGTGGTCGCCAGATTGAACCCTCCTGGAAGATGTGGGAGCAGTTTGTGAGTGATGTTGTCCAAACTGTGTTGGAGCTAGACAGTCTGGAGTCCTCCCACCCCATCAGCATCCCTGTTGGAAGACCCGAAGAGATTAATCAAATTTTTGATGACATTTCCTATTCCAAAGGTAAGCCTATACCGGCAATATAAAATACTGTATAATGATTTAATGAATTTCATGCGCACATTGGATCAGATACATTGTGTCCATTTCACCATAAAATCAAATATTTGATTTGATGGTGACAGACTGTCTGTCTGGCTTTCCAAAGTCGGAGGCCAGATGCTAGGGGGTAGCCTCATCCAAAATTGCAAGAATAGTAATATGGATAAAAGACAAATATAGGCCTCAGTGTATATCTAAGCTAAGTGCTTCAATAAATAATAACATTTATATACAACCACCTGATGCGATTTTAATAGTCTTTGGTCAGCTAACAGGAGTACACAATCCCAATTTTATACATTGTAACATTGAGTAGGCCTCTCGAGCAAGTTAATTACTTCAACCACCACCATCAAAAGCCCGCAAGCAATCTAGCTTGGATGGCTCAACTGTTGACCGAGCTGCTGCAGAGTGCCTGTATGCTGCAACAACACAACACGACATTGCTCGTCTCACAGCAGTAGCAGCCCCACATGCAGGGGACTTCCTGTTAACAACGACAATGTCGGCAACTGCCACATGTCTCACACCACACGCCCTCCGAAATGCTGTGGCGCTCTGCTTTGCTGCCCCAATCCACACCAAGTATAGGCGTATTTGTGGCGAGGTGGTTGCCGACAGGTACGGCCACCATGGCCTACTCTGCCAAAACACAGGGGGATGGCACTCGAGGCACAGTGAAGTTAACGACATCATCAAGAGGAACCTCACCACAGCTGGATGCCCAGCTGAGAGAGAGCCCCATTACCTAACGCCCTGTAACTCTGGTGCTCTTTTTGGTCGCCCAGATGGTATCACGGTGAACCCCTGGAAAACTGGCAAGCAGCTGATATGAGACTACACATGTGTAATCAACTCGGGCTAACACCTACATTTACTTCAGTGTTGCACAACCAGGTGGCGCTGCCACTCACAGGGAATCGACAAAATCCCGTAAGTATAGAAAACTGGATCACCACTACAATTTTGTCCCCATTGCTGAAATACTCAGCGCCTGGGGTAGGAGTACCACCAGTTTTTTTTTAAGGAATTTTGTTCTAGGTTAATTGAAACCACAAGAGACCCTACAGCTTCCAGCTTCCTTTTCCAGCGCCTCAGGGTGGCGATAGAGGGGAAACGCACACTTCATTCAGGGTTACTGCCCGCCATCCTTGGAGCTGGACGAACTCTACAACTTATGATAATCATCTTTGTACCTTTGGTAGGATACTTAGGCATATATCGACGACTCTTTAGGTTCAGGGAAACACGACTTGCTATGTATGTATGTATATGTACATGTGTATGTGTATGTATATATATTATATATATATATATATATATATATATATATATATATATATATATATATATATGTCGTACCTAGTAGCCAGAACGCACTTCTCTGCCTACTATGCAAGGCCCGATTTGCCTAATAAGCCAAGTTTTCCTGAACTAATATATTTTCTCTAATTTTTTCTTATGAAATGATAAACCTACACATTTCATTATGTATGAGGTCAATTTTTTTTTACTGGAGTTAAAATTAACGTAGATATATGACCTAACCTAACCTAACCTAACCTAACCTAACCTAACCTAACCAACCCTACCTAACCTAACCTAACCTATCTTTATTGGTTAGGTTAAGTTAGGTAGCCGAAAAAGTTAGGTTAGGTTAGGTTAGGTAGGTTAGATAGTCGAAAAACAATTAATTCATGAAAACTTGACTTATTAGGCAAATCGGGCCTTGCATAGTAGGCTGAGAAGTGAGTTCTGGCTACTAGGTACGACATATATATATATATATATATATATATGCTATATATGCTATATATGCAGGCGATGAGTGACAATAACGTGGCTGAAGTATGTTGACCAGACCACACACTAGAATTTGAAGGGACGACGACGTTTCGGACCGTCCTGGACCATTCTCAAGTCGATTGTGTCGATATATATATATATATATATATATATATATATATATATATATATATATATATATATATATATATATATATATATATATATATATATGTCGTACCTAGTAGCCAGAACGCACTTCTCAGCCTACTATTCAAGGCCCGATTTGCCTAATAAGCCAAGTTTTCATGAATTAATTGTTTTTCGACAACCTAACCTACCTAACCTAACCTAACCTACCTTTTTCGGCTACCTAACCTAACCTAACCTATAAAGATAGGTTAGGTTAGGTTAGGTAGGGTTGGTTAGGTTCGGTCATATATCTACGTTAATTTTAACTCCAATAAAATAAAATTGACCTCATACATAATGAAATGAGTAGCTTTATCATTTCATAAGAAAAAAATTAGGAAAATATATTATTTCATGAAAACTTGGCTTATTAGGCAAATCGGGCCTTGAATAGTAGGCTGAGAAGTGCGTTCTGGCTACTAGGTACGACATATATATATATATATATATATATATATATATATATATATATATATATATATATATATATATATATATATATATATATATATATATAGGGGGTACCACCTCTGGTGCAATTATAGGGACCCACAGCCTCAGAGAAGGGAACACAGAGCATTCAGGGAAAAACTTGCCATTTGACTCTGAATACGTAATAGTATTCGCTTCTCCTACCACCCCCCTTTTTTATGGTGTACACTTTATTATGCACGGTTATACTGTTACATATCTGATTTTATACAAAAAATTAACATTAAGAGGACACAAAAAAAAGTTCGCTTCCTAGAGGCTGTAGATTTCCTCGAACTCCTCCGACGCCGGGCAGGAACCGAGGATGCAGCGGACATTCCCCCTCTGGATCGCGACACTGAGGCGCTGAAAGAGAAAACTTGCTGCTCTAGGGTCTCTTGTGGTGTCAATGAGCTTGGAACCAAGATCCTTAAGAAACCTTCTTGCACTCTCTCCCCATGGGCCTAGGGTCTCAGACCCTATTGGAACGAAGTTGTACCGATGATCTAATTGCCTGTACTTTGCTGACTTGTCTCTTTCTCTGCGTGTCGCCGTGGCTCCTGCTGTGCCGGCAGAGAGTTTGATGTATGTGGTTGCCAGGATGGATACACAAGTATAGTCCCATGCCAACTGCCTGCCACCCTTCCACGGTCGCAGTGTGATTCCGTCTGGTCGGCCGGCAAAGCTAACAGAGTCACGGTTCAGTAGGTTGCGGGGCTCTCTCTCCGCTGGACACTGAGCAGAGGCAAGGCTTCTTTTAATGATGTCATTGACTTCGTCGTGTCTAGTGTGCCAACCACCAGATTTTCCACAGTGCAGGCCATGCAATCCATATTCGTCAGCATCTGCCTCGCCGCAAATACACCTGTGAACAGTGTGGATAGGGGCAGCAAGACGGAGAGCGACTGCAATATGGAGCTCCTGCGGATCAAGACGTGTGCCTGTCGCAGACATAGGGACTGCCAAAAGGAAGTCCCCTGCATGGGGAGCCTGCACAGCTGTGAGGCGTGCACGATCACTGGGGGTTGTTGCTGCCTCCAGCAAAGCTGTGGCTTCTTTGTCTACAATGGGGCTGTCCCAACTGGATTGTTTCTTGGCTTTCGGCATGGCTGGTCTGAGTGCTGGGTCTGCCATGGCACCCCATTTCGTGGTGCATTCCGTGTAGTGGGGGTCCTGTATCCCCGCTACATCACTCAGGGTGTCAGGTAGAATTTCCTTAACCAGGTCCTTAACGTTTTATATATATATATATATATATATATATATATATATATATATATATATATATATATATATATATATATATATATATATATATATAATATATATGCATGCATTTTCAGTTGCATATATGCCTGGAGACCGTTCAGGCTTGTTCGTGTTATATATATATATATATATATATATATATATATATATATATATATATATATATATATATATAATATTTTATCCACTTCGGCACTAAGAGACTCTAACCACCGCCGACCCTATGGTCCACGGCCCAATAGGAAAGATCTCAGAGGCAACAAACCCTGTCCAACTTAGATTTTATACCTACTGCTAAAAATTATGTATACAATTTATATATATGACAACAGCAGCAATTTTGCTCGTGAGATGACTTTTATATTGACAGCAAATGTCAATAGACCGTAAACTTGTTGTGGTGATAATAATTGTCTTGTTGACCAAACCACACACTTGAAAGTGAAGGGACGAGGACGTTTCGGTCTCTCCTGGACCATTCTCAAATCTATTATGACTGGATAGACTTGAGAATGGTCAAGGACGGACCGAAACGTCGTCATCCCTTCACTTTCTAGTGTGTGGTTTGGTCAACACATTTCAGCCACGTTATTGTGACTCCTCGTCTGCAATAATCGTCTTCCACTCAGGTTCAGCTGTCATTCGCATGATGAACTACTTCCTGACTGAGACGACCTTCAGGAAGGGCATCACCAACTACCTCAATGGCCAGTAGGTTATCTTCTTCTTCTAGTTCCTCCTCCAAGAAACACCGATCACGACTAACCATTTATTACTCACGACCTGTCATTCATTGACCACACTCCCAGGTCCTTCAATCCTTTAGCAGGAAGCAACAACTCCTTGAGTTTATTGAACCACCACTTGTGAAGTGCCATGAGTAAGAATGTACAGGGAGCCATGACAATGTTAAGGGAGCCATGACTAACAATGTACAGGGAGCCATGGCAATGTTAAGGGAGCCATGACTAACAATGTACAGGGAGCCATGGCAATGTTAAGGGAGCCATGACTAACAATGTACAGGGAACCCTGACTAACAATGTACAGGGAACCCTGACTAACAATGTACAGGGAACCCTGACTAACAATGTACAGGGAACCATGACTAACAATGTACAGGGAACCCTGACTAACAATGTACAGGGAACCATGATTAACAGTGTACAGGGAACCATGACTAACAATGTACAGGGAACCCTGACTAACAATGTGCAGGGAACCCTGACTAACAATGTACAGGGAACCATGACTAACAATGTACAGGGAACCATGACTAACAGTGTACAGGGAACCACGACTTGTTAGGTACAGGATCTTATTGTAGTCACTTTTGACCTTACTGTAGTTTCTTTGATCTTACTGTAATCACTTTGACTTTATTATAGACACTCTGACCTTATTGTAGTCACTCTGACCTTGTTGACCAAACCACACACTAGAAAGTGAAGGGACGACGACGTTTCGGTCCGTCCTGGGCCATTCTCATGTCGATAGTGACTTGAGAATGGTCCAGGAAGGACCGAAACGTCGTCGTCCCCTCACTTTCTAGTGTGTGGTCTGGTCAACATACTTCAGCCACATTATTGTGTCTCATCGCCTGCACTCTGACCTTATTGTAGTCACTCTGACCTTATTGTAGTCACTCTGACCTTACTGTAATCACTCTGTACTTATTGTAGTCACTTTGACCTTATTGCAGTTACTTTGACCTTTTTGTGTTCACTTTGACCATATTATAGTCACACTGAGACCTAATTATAGTAACACTGACCTCTTTATAGTCACTTTCTGACCTTATTATAGTCACACAATGGCATGCTATATAGACTCTGATCCTTATTGTACTCACACTAGTATTTTATTGTAGTAACACTTAGGACCTTATTATAGTCACACTAGGACCTTATTATTGTCACACTAGGACCTTATTATAGTCACACTAGGACCTTATTATAGTCACACTAGGACCTTATTATAGTCACACTAGGACCTTATTATAGTCACACTAGGACCTTATTATAGTCACACTAGGACCTTATTATAGTCACACTAGGACCTTATTATAGTCACACTAAGACCTTATTATAGTCACACTAGGACCTTATTATAGTCACACTAGGACCTTATTATAGTCACACTAGGACCTTTATTATAGTCACACTAGGACCTTATTATAGTCACACTAGGACCTTATTATAGTCACACTAGGACCTTATTATAGTCACACTAGGACCTTTATTATAGTCACACTAGGACCTTATTATAGTCACACTAGGACCTTATTATTGTCACACTAGGACCTTATTATTGTCACACTAGGACCTTATTATAGTCACACTAGGACCTTATTATTGTCACACTAGGACTTTATTATTGTCACACTAGGACCTTATTATAGTCACACTAGGACCTTATTATTGTCACACTAGGACCTTATTATTGTCACACTAGGACCTTATTATTGTCACACTAGGACCTTATTATTGTCACACTAGGACCTTATTATAGTCACACTAGGACCTTATTATTGTCACACTAGGACCTTATTATAGTCACACTAGGACCTTATTATAGTCACACTAGGACCTTATTATTGTCACACTAGGACCTTATTATAGTCACACTAGGACCTTATTATAGTCACACTAGGACCTTATTATTGTCACACTAGTACCTTATTATAGTCACACTAGGACCTTATTATAGTCACACTAGGACCTTATTATAGTCACACTAGGACCTTATTATAGTCACACTAGGACCTTATTATTGTCACACTAGTACCTTATTATTGTCACACTAGGACCTTTATTATAGTCACACTTAGGCCCTTATTATAGTCACACTAGTACCTTATTATTGTCACACTAGGACCTTTATTATAGTCACACTAGGACCTTATTATTGTCACACTAGTACCTTATTATTGTCACACTAGGACCTTTATTATAGTCACACTAGGACCTTTATTATAGTCACACTAGTACCTTATTATTGTCACACTAGGACCTTTATTATAGTCACACTTAGGACCTTATTATAGTCACACTAGTACCTTATTATTGTCACACTAGGACCTTATTATTGTCACACTAGGACCTTATTATTGTCACACTAGGACCTTATTATTGTCACACTAGGACCTTATTATTGGCACACTAGGACCTTATTATCGGCACACTCAGACTTTATTATATTCACACCTTGCCTTATTATAGTGCCAGTATGACCTTAGTATAGTCCACTCTGCCCTCTTTATAGTCACAACGAATCAGTTGTGACTCTAATTTGAGTCGGTTGACTCAAGTTGAGTCAGCCAATCAGTTGAATTGATTGGATTCTCCTTAACCAATCAGGACTTTAATATAGTCACACTCTGCCTTTATTATAGTCATACTATGACCATTTTCTAGTTATATTCTTGTGACTATAAAAGTTAAGTTGCAAGTTGTTAAGGTCTTGAGTAGTTCTACACTCAGGTGAACTGCGATCATTTCAGGGGAGGGCGGGAGGGGTGGTTATCTTTGAGGTTATCTTTGAGATGATTTCGGGGCTTTAGTGTCCCCGCGGCCCGGTCCTCGACCAGGCCTCCACTCCCAGGAAGCAGCCCGTGACAACTGACTAACTCCCAGGTACCTATTTACTGCTAGGTAACAGGTGAATTTAGGGTGAAAGAAACTTTGCCCATTTGTTTCTGCCTCGTGCGGGAATCGAACCCGCGCCACAGAATTACGAGTCCTGCGCGTTATCCACCAGGCTACGAGGCCCTAACCCACGAGGGTGGGTTATAAAATATTGACGAATGTGATGTTTTAAAATAATGGGTTTCTCTTGCACCATAAACTAACACACCAACAAGTCTTAGCTCCCAGCTGGGTGCTAGAGAGTGACTGTTACTTCATGAAAGACGAGTTGATTGAGTGGACAACAACCCAACTCTTATTTTAGAGGGTTATTTTATAGTTTAGTTGTTCCTGCTGTGATCATGTGGTAACACACACACACACACACACACACACACACACACACACTCTCTCTCACTCTCTCACTCACTCTCTCACTCTCTCACACTCTCACTCACACACACTCACACACACACACTCTCTCTCTCTCTCTCTCTCTCTCTCTCTCTCTCTCTCTCTCTCTCTCTCTCTCTCTCTCTCTCTCTCTCTCTCTCTCTCTCTCTCTCTCTCTCTCTCAAATCACTCGTCCAAAAGTTAAATAACAAATATCACGAACCGGATTCTGTAGCGAATCGCGTTAAATGAAATTAGGCAGATGATGAATATATATTAATGTCGTTCGGCGGTAAACCTTACTAGTGGCCAGTAGCACAGAATCCCACGTCCGGATATAACGACGGTCGTTGACAGAATATTCGTGCCAAGGCCTGCTGGGCACTACAATACTCTCCTTAACACTCCCAGCCAGTAGTGGGAAGTATGACGGACCGTGACCGTTTTGCTTTTTTCGAGGGTCACGGTCCGTCATACCTGTTTTTCGTTACAGTATTAAGGGGTCACGATCCGTCATACCTGTTTTTCGTTACAGTTTCGAGGGGGCGCGATCCGTCATACTTGTTTCGAGGGTCACGGTCCGTCATACCTGTTTTTCGTTACAGTATTAAGGGGTCACGATCCGTCATACCTATTTTTTCGTTGCAGTTTCGAGGGTCACGATCCGTCATACCTGTTTTTCGTAACAGTATTAAGGGGACACGATCCGTCATACCTGTTTTTCGTTGCTTTTTTCCAGGGTCACGATCCGTCATACCTGTTTTTCGTTACAGTATTAAGGGGTCACGATCCGTCATACCTGTTTTTCGTAACAGTATTAAGGGGACACGATCCGTCATACCTGTTTTTCGTTGCTTTTTTCGAGGGTCACGGTCCGTCATACCTGTTTTTCGTTACAGTATTAAGGGGACACGATCCGTCATACCTGTTTTTTCGTCACCCGAGCGGGTGATTGCCTTATAGTCCATGAAATTTCGCTCAAGGGGATTAAAAGGTCCCTTGTAGTCATACATGTTTTTGTTACCACAGTGTCCCTTGCACAGACATCGCTGATGGTCAATGACGTCCCAGGTAGCCGCTCAATGACCCTGCACAGGCATCGCTAATGGTCAATGACGTCATCAGCTAGTCAGTCACCCCGTCTTCATCTTCCCTGAATAAGTCCATTTTCTGTTATAGTGTATTTATTCCCATTTTCAATGTTTATAGCAAAGGGGATTCAAATGCTGCCTTCTGTCAAGCCTAATGTGCAATGGCGTTAATCATTATAAGCTCGTTTTTCTCAATAAGGTATTGCCGTACTGTTTCCCATTGTCTAAGATCATTTTATAGCTAAGATTACATAATAATAACATAAGAAATGAGTTCAAACCCTGTTACAGAACTAGTATTTACCCAGGTCTTTTTCCTAAATCTAAAACTTATTCCAATTCATGTCCTTGTTCTGTTTCATGTTGATACGTTTAATAGGATATTAATATTCCCCCTTTATCATGTCCATTCATTCACACCTCTATCATGTCACCCCTATTTCTTCTTCCTCGTTCTAGAGAATGTAATTTGAGCTTTGACAATCTTTCTTGAAGGATCGTTTATTATGCATAGGGCAAAAAAAAATAAAATGAAAAAAGTCTGCTATCAGTCGATTTATATGAAAAAAAACAGAGTCCTGGGCATTGGTGATTTCAATGC